TCCCAGTGCAAGGCTGCTAATAACTGAAGAATGGGAAGGTCGGGCGAGATTTTCTTTTGGATTCGATCCGTGCGAGTCTGAATGTGCGAAATAATGGCTCTACATGTAACGCATCTTGCGTTCTCGCACTCTATTACTATAAATTTCGCTCAACAATGAGAATTGGTTGGCCTTAGCTATATAAAGACAAGCGCGGTGGCTTTTAGTTAGTGTGGTAGGTGACTGACTGGTCGATCGGGACGCAAAGAGTGCTTCCGAGTTTCTGGCTACTATGCATCCTCTCTTCAGAAATATCTTGCCTATAGAACCGAAATTGCTTTTTTGCTGAAGTTGCTGCCGCCACTTCCGACATAGCTGATCAACCCAAGGAAGCCGAAGCAATCTAATGGAAATTCGAGGACTGATCCCATAGATTTTATATCAGACAATTACTTTTTGTGTTCCGGCCTTTTTTGTATTCTTTCTTGACTTGGCACACAGACCTCCCTCCATGCCTTCTAGTGGGAATAATTTATAATATAATAATAATAATTTATAATATAATAATAATAATATACGAAGATAGTTGGCCTACCATGCTCTTCCGGAACGCCCGAAGCATCCGAAGATTTTAATCTGACTACAGATGGGCTCCTGAAGTTGATAGTCTCTTCGTTTTTAGGCCCAATATGCACTTCATTCTTCATATGATCTTGTGCCCTTGGGTGTGGGAGATTTGTTGTGCAACTGACCTTGCTATTCGCTTTGACATCACTGCCGATTCTAGTTTACATAATGATAATCGAGTTACTATCCGACCTAGTTCGCTGAGTGTGTCTGTTGGCGTGGTGCTGTTTGTGTTTTTGTGTATGTGTGTGTGTTTGCGTGTGGATGTGTGTATGGTGTGACGATGCGTGAGTTTGACAGCAAATTAATTAATAGCTCTTGCCACTCTTTGCTCCTCCCATCCCTTCATTGCCCCATTACCCTCAGACCTGGAGACTTCAAATTTGAAAGGGGAAAACCAACAGGAAGGAAACACTGATGGTGGGTAACCACCTGTTGTAGCAATCGAAAGAGGCGGATAAGGAACCCTGTTGGCTGGGAGTCACTAAAAGCAATGCGCCTTCCGCATTGCAGTCGATTTTCGACAGCTCACGAACGGGTGTGATGGGATCTCGGATGATTGATGAGAGGAACTCCTACTGACTGATAGAGGCTGATAAATGGCTAATACTAGTGAGCCCGTCACGCTTTTAGTGTTAACAGTGGAATGTTAGGAAAAGACGGTTGATGGCAAAAACTGATAACGGCTGATAAGTGGACGTAAGAGGCTAGAATTATATACTGGAGCTATAACATCTTTCGTGTCCGTGTCATTAAGGAAATCGGCACTTGCCCAACTCATTTATCTTGTACGATGTAGCCTGCTCGTTCAGTATGTTCTATAGGAACAGTCGGCATGGTAGGGTTGGTTGACAACAAATGAGTGAAATCCAGAGCTATGGAGGATTGCAGTTAATACGGGATAGCAACGTTCGGCCCATTCCTTAGTACCAGACTAAAGGGTTTGGATGAAGCAAGGGTAAGTGATGCCCTATCACTACGCATGGTCCAGGAATCGAACCATTCTACACGAAGTCGTATGCAGGGCGCATCTCTACAATAAGTAAGGATGCATGTTAGATAACGACCACTTCGCTCAGGATTTGCGACTCACAATTTTCTTGGGGGATCAAGTTTTCCCCTCATCCCGATGCCGCTCTTGACAAAATTTTACCCACCAAGAGTAAGTTATCTCGAAATCTCGACCGATCATTCACAGCTATGAAGAAGAGAAGGGCCGCGAATCCGTGACCTTTGAAAGTTGTGTTATCATCAATCGGCAACAATAGTAAGTACCATTCAAGCCTCAGATTGCTCAGTAATGCCAAAGCCGTGGTCACAGAGAACCCAACAGAGCGGAGGGGAAAAACGGCTTTTTGATGGACGATTACTTTCAGGATAGAGTAACAAGTCGAGATTTCGTAATCTTGAACTTATGTGCACTCTAGCCTTTACAGAGACAAGAAGCTCTCTTGCAAGAATGAACGCAGGAACGAGGCTGGCTGTTTCAGAAAAGAATGCCTGAAGAACAATCGTAAACCGTTGCACCTTCGTTGCCAGCTGATTCAAAGGTAGCAACAATTGTTACGATTAAACTCAAAGAGATGGGCTAAAAGAAAGTGCGGAGGTGGCTTCTACAGCAATCTAGCAATGAGAAGTAAGTAAGAAAACTACTAAGACTGCTCAACCTCTCGGCAAACTTCATCGTAACTGCTGGTAAAGTAATCAAAAGTCTCAAAGATCCGCTATCATACGGTGCAATGAGTGATTTGTGTGTTCAGGAACAAAAACGTCAACACAGAGGGGTGAGCTAATGGCGAAAAATACAGAAAAAGCTCAACTGACCCAAAAAGAGGACCATTTCTGTACGAGTTCATGTTCAGCTTTGAACGAAGGAATAACGAAGAAGATGAGCTACTGAATGAATGCTTGTTCACCGTCGTGTAGTATGTGCAGCAGAACAACTGAGTGACTGAAGAGTGATCATGCACGAACACAGCAGGTTACCTTTTACACAGCGCTACTTAACTGACAAGTATGTAACTAGCACTCTCCTTGAGAGATATGTGTCTAAAAAGCCTCTCAATGGCCGCTCCTGACGAGATCGATGTCCCAGTCTGAGTTCACTGCTTGTTGCGGTAATTCTACGTCATTTTTCGTCATAGGCAGTTCTGGCACCCCAGAAATAGCACGTCGGACATTGTCAGGTCGAGAAACAACCTCAACAGGGCGTTATGAGGGCTCGAGAACCGGTCTGGCCGACGTACACGCCCAAAAGTGGCCGTGTTATGGTGGCCTTGACAAGGCCGCACATGTCAAAGTCAAACGTCAGGACGCTGTCGAATAGTGCGCTTATGTAGGAGAGATACAGACGTTCACAGACACATAAACTCGTACAACCCAATTTCTTACTACTTTTTTGGGGCCTTACATTTTGAAATCCGCCGATTTTAGTGCTTTCCTCGCCATTTTTACACTATTCTACGCCATAACTTGATTATTTCACCAGATACTTCAGAAATATCGTGAATGGCGTCTATCAATTGCAGGATTGATATTATCACTGTCTTCCGGTCCTAAAAATATCATTAAAGTCCAATTCCCACAACCTAGTTACATAATTACGAAAAACTCCTTTCCTTCCACGCCCACAAGGTAGACTCGAAGCTTTGCGATAACTTCTGAGATGTCATTTGCCGACGGCGAATCAGAAAACAGGCTTCTTTCCCGTACTACAGGTAAGCATTTTACTGCACGGTCAATACTAGACTATGTAGGAGAACGAATCTTCCGCTGTGCCCTTTCGACGACTCCACAGACCACTGGAGAAGGCAGGTACCTATTCGGACTGGTTGCCGTTCCAAGCGAGCAGAAGTCGAGCATGTGGCGCATACCAAGATGCGCTCGATCAAACGCTGAGTTCCTTCAATCGTTCCAATTTTCCAGGAGTTAAATCGATTATTTAAGATCGATTTCTGTGAAGCATGCATGCAGCAGAATGTTGTTGGCAAGGGAAGCAAGGCATGAGCCCTGCTACCCCCCCCCCCCCC